TTCGAACTGTCATCTTCACCTCCATCATCTGCAACAATTCATCACCTTTCAAGATGAATGCTGACGTGCTTCTGAGGTAAAGCGCACTTTCGGAAACACGTACACATCATCATCTCCTCATATTTTTGCGATGTTTAATGAGTAAAAAATATTTTTAGAAACTTTTTCTGAATGTTCCAATCATGAAACACTAAATAAATATGCAATCTGAACAATATAATGAAAAAAGGAACAGACCTCCGCCTTGGTCACTTGTGTTACCACCAACTTGACCACCACCCGGATATGATTCATCACGAGTCTGCAATGACTGCAGCACGTGAACTCTTATTATCAAATCGGTTAGTAAAATCTCATCCAATTGTGATTTGAAATAATCAGAAGATGTGTAATTAACCAACAGGACAAATCAAAATTTTTGAAGAGAATTTTCGAGGAATTGACTATAAAATATGAACCGGTTGAAGAATTTGTGAAAGTGTTTCCAACACTCCAGCGATTCGTTGATAAGCAGTATGCGCCGGTGCAATTGTCTCAACTTTCACGTGCAATGGGCCACCATAATGTGCGTATTGTGGATCACCACTTGCGAGTAGCTCTTGCTCCTGAATCGCAGCAGAAAACGTGAATTATTTCGCAAATTTCATGAAACCACTCAATCAATTACTCTGGAACTCCATATGGCTCATCTATTATACGTATGCGGTAATTTTACAGCTAACGTTTTTATCGAAGGTCGGTACTACCAGCTTCAACATGAATGAAGTCTTACTGAGTCTCAGTCCCGGAGTGCAGCTTTCCTACGAAAACAAGAGGTGGTGAGCCTCAGACCAAGCCCACGATGAGTTTTATCCAACAGCAGGAGTTAACCTTAGCTTATGGCTCGTGTGCATAAGATTGTCTACCAAGGCTGCCCTCGCAGACACGTTAACTATAAGGTTATCTAGCAAGCTTTATTAACTTTCATACAACCTGTTCGTATTCAATTACTGACTGCAGCACTAACTCAATGACTATTTACCTTTGCACGATCCTTTGTCGATCCACGACCCAACACGTAAATATGACATTTGAACTGTTTGGCCATAGCTTGCAGAGAAGCGCCTTTAGGACCGAGAATCTTACCGACGAAATTGAAACGCGGATGTCGAAAGTTCGGGATGAGAATCTGAAAAGTTCCATCAAAAATAAATCTTGTCCGATGGCTTAACTGTGAAGTATTAATTGCTCAATGCCTCGATTAATAAGCGAACTGTATGGACGCAAGTTTGCATCACCGCATTCTATAAAATACAAATTCAAAACGCAACAACGGCACAAAGCAGGGAACCACTCGACGAGCATGCTGCCCAAAGATTGGAATTGTGTAAAAATGAATCACGACCAACCTTCTTGGAGACTTTGATTGGTTTCGGAATATCCACTTCAAGCCATTCTGGATCGATGCTATTCTCGAGTTTATCTGCTTCGGCGGCCAACAAACGTTTCGCGTTCTTGAACTGTTCACCCCATTCACCACCTTGTTCCATTAGCTGTTGTTCGGTGTGAATCTCACGAATTACAACCTAAATTCAACTTTAGAATGCATTCAGTTTTCATCTTCTTTATCTATGAAACCAAAATCGCATTCGGGATTGGCCAAATAAAACATAACTGCTGCAACTATCCAAAAACGTAACCGTTTATACACTCACCTGAATTTCAGCATCCAAAGGACTTTGCGCTTCCATGGCCGAATAACCACTTTGATAGCCACCCCCATAGCCGGCATTATAGCCTGTTGCTCCATATCCAGCTGTGTATCCACTTGAGCCATATTGTGCGGATGAATAGCCAGCAGCACCACCGTACTGTTGATAGCCTTTCATACTTTGCTGAAAACCAAAGCAAATGAGACAAATACAAAAAAAAGTGATATTATAAGTACTGAGCATTAATAAAAACCCATCCTTTCTGGCTTTGGAACCTTAACATTTCAGTGTACAGAGCATCAATAAAAAATCTCTTCCAAATAAAGTAAAACAAAACGGTGAAATAAAAATTAAAAAACAGAGAACATACCACATTTCCACCGGTTCCGTAGTTTCCTTGATAATAATCTCCACGACCACCACCAGTGCTTTCACTCAGATAATCGTCTCCGGGCATTTTTCTACTGATCAAACAACACAAAAGTACTGAACAACTGCTCTCAGACAATCTAAAAACTGAAATTCAAACACAATCATTCGATGCACCGATTAAAGAAAGTAGTTTCAATGAGCGTGTAAAGCTTCGAAAACGCCAACTACTGCAAGAGCAACAACAGCTTCAACGAACCCGAAACAACAATAAAAAACACCTCAATAAACCGTGCATTTCTCAAAAAGCAGCTAACTTTTAAGTTACCATATGCGAATTTTATCAACAACATTCAATATTCACAGCTTGCAAATAGGTTCTCCATTCTTCAAACACTCCTCACTAATGTCTACTATGTCTCTTCTAATTTCGCGTGTCTGTCAGAGTGTTTATTCGACAACGTGTCTAGAGATTGCTGACAATGAATCAGCAAGCAAGCAACACTATTGAGCCGGCGTGATTAAACAGAGCACAGAGAAGAAGAGCTCTTATTGTTAGTACAAGGCGAATTCATTTATAAATGAGGAAAAGTGGTTTGGGGTACTTGAATGCCGCGATAAATTTGAATTTCTGATAAATTGATATGAACATGGATTTGGAAAAGCATTCGAGTAACTGAAATTCAAGCACAGCACTACTCACAATCAGATGTGTTGGTGTCGAGATCGATTGAACTCGAAAAAGTGCCAGAACAATACTTTGCATAGTCGGCACTGAATAATCTATTCAAAAGACATTGCAATTTTCTACAAGCCGAGAGGTTTTCAGGAAAAATGCTAGCGCACTTCCCGAATTTTCCATCACACCTAAACTTTCCATCACCCGGCTTACCCAGCATGGGGTAGTGTGTTTGAAATCGGAAGCAATATCGAAGTCTTCTTAATAAGCCAGATTCAACGTTGAACCCTGCGTAGACATCCGTAATGAGAAAGTAAGCCCATGCATTGGACGATAAGACTAGTGTCTTGGGATAAACCGCCTGAAATCCTATACAACTAGCCGAATTAATTTTGTATGTAATCGATATCCGCTTTAATGCACTTCATGTCACGCAATGTAAAAGGAAATCGTAACTGTACAGTAGCAGTAAGTAACACGGGAAATTAATAAATAGCTTTGTTACTGACATACTCAGTCACACTTTGAAGATTCTTCAACTCTTCACAGTACGGTATTTTCGTAATATGTAATGCTAAGCTGTACAGTTGAAATAATTTTTTGATGATTTCTTTGATTGTTTATTTAGAATTTTGAAATTCTTTCATCAGAAAACAACTGATTTTGAACGGTATTATAAACCACTGAACGACCAACGTGAAAGTATTTCAGTAGGAGTATTCCTCATTGCAATACCCTTGACGTTTGCTGATAGCTTAACATGACTGGTTGAATTTCCACGACAACCACACCTCGTTAACTCAAAAATCAATTGATACGGTGACTGCA